CTTGTACGACCATGACGTGTTTGCTGTAGTGTGATTGCGTGTTGCTTTTGCACTCTGGTGTGATTGCGTATTGCTCTTGCACTCTTTCCTATTCCATCATCAAGGGTTGCAACCTGCTAGGCGATTATACCTATGCTAGGTGGCTGCTTCGCTACAGAAGGTTGAAAGGAGTTTTGGAAGGAGGACTAAGAGAGACCGTTGAGGGTCGAGGTAGAGGAGACGAGTGGTGCAGGAGTCTGAGTTACGTGGAGAGTCGAGAAAATGAGTGACGGATCTTCGCAGAAGAAGTCCGACGAAGGGACTTCGAGGCCACCGGTAGAAGGACGGAAGTGCTACAAGTGCGGTGAGATGGGGCATTTTGCGAGGGATTGTGCCGAGTTTTGGCAATCGAAGGCGCTCGGGCGAACCTTCGTGCCATCGACATATGGGCCAAGTGGAGCGAGGATGGGGAGATCGACCGAACCAGAGAGTAGTGCGAGGAGTCGATCAGCGGATAGTGGGAGTGAGCGCGTCGAGACAGATGACACAAGTCTGTTAATGAGAGAGTACCTCATTTCTATGGCGCAGGAAAGGCGGGAGAGGCTTGAAAGGGAGGCAGTCAAGGAACGGAGGAGGGTGGAAGAAGAGATAAGGATGGAGAAAGAAAGGAAGCGGGCCGAGAAGATCAGAGAAAAGCAGCAGTATGAGGAGGAACGGGATGCGAGACTGTTGAGTTTGATCAGCGCGAAGATAAAAATGGAAGAAGAGGGGCGGCGGGGCAAGAGTGGCTGGAAAGGGAAAGGCGTGTACAGGACAAATGAATACGGGGAAACGTTGGAAGAAGAAAAAGAAAGGCTAAGGAGAATGATAGCGGGACAGGAGGAACTGGAAGTTGACGAGGAGCTCCAGCTACTCCGGAGGCAAGCGGCAAAGTTGAAGATTAATGAGAAAGTGGAGAAGCGAAAGCGAGGACCGGAGACACCGGTCGGGAATAGTCCACCTGTGATGACGCCGGAGAAGAGGACAAATATTAAACTATCGGAGGAGGGAAGAAAGAAGATCGAACAACTACGAAGTACTACGGACGAGGAACCACAGTCGTCAGAAGCGCAGAGGAAGATTGACTTGACTTTGAAGCATATCTCGGCCTCGTGCGGACCAGGTGGAAAAGAGAAATACGAGGCGGAAGTTCGTGATTTTTTCAATGCACTTACGATCGAGGAATTGAAGGAGGTATGCCGAAGGGAGAAGGTATGTTACGGGAAACGCGAAATGGCGATTAAACGATTGGTGATTCGACGTGCGGCGATTGCGTATGATGCGGCTTACATTCCTTTACCGACAACACCAAGGATCATGACGCGAAGTGTGAAGACTGAAGGGACGAAAGGAAAATCTGCGGAAGCGAAACCGGAGGAGGAGGAAAGTGAATCAGAAGAGGAGAGTGAATCGGGAGAAGAGGAATGAAGACGGCGGAGAAGGGAGAAACTGTGGGAGTTAGCCAAGGATATTAGTGGGCGTAGACGGGGGGATGGTGGAAAGAACAAAGATGACGATAGGCTTTTCCGATTAGTCACGATCAAGTTAATACTGGAAGAGAAGTGAGATGGGGGGAGAAGTTCGTAAGGTACTTGGAAGGGGAACTAGAGAAAGGGTTCCTAGATTTAAGCAAACCGGAAATTTGTATGTATATCTTGATATCACCATGGCACAGACCAGTGTATATTGGGATGACTGAGAGGCAATTGTGGGCGAGATGGCGTGAACATTCTTGCCTTGGAAAGGGGAGCGGTGGTAAAAGGAGGCGAGCACTGTACAACTGGTTTGGGAAAGTGGGAGCTCAGAAATACGTTGCAATACCGTTTTTTTTTCAGTAAGAAGAGGAGGGAACTCGAGTCCGTGGAAAAGACTTTGATCAGAATTCGGTCACCTAGCTTGAACTCTCGAGGTTCCAGGGTAAAGAGATCGGGAAGAAAGGGGAGGAGGAGACTGGGGAGAATGGAGAGACAGAAGAAGAAAAGTACTACGAAGGGAGGGCGACCGTCAGATAGGAAGGGACGTGGAGTCGGGAAGATAATTGAACTGAGGAAGAAAGGAGATCGCGATGGCACGGTAGGCGTTGTGAATTTGCTTCGGGAGTTACGGGAAGACGGAGTGAAAGGGAATACGCATCTAGAATCTGGAGGAGGTAGTGTATGGGCGGATGGGTGGAGGTTGGTACGAAGGCTGTTTGGTGAGACGAGGGTCAGATGCGGGAAGGGGACGAGGCCTCTACGAAAGTGTAAGAGACTCTTTGAAGAAGGGGGGACGATCGTGTTGAGAAGAATTGATGAGGCCTCTCCAGCGGTCTTGCGTCGGCGGGATCAGATGGTTATGATGTTCAAGAATCCGAAGCCGAGGGCAAAGTTGAAGGGTATGCCCCTTGGGGAGATGCTGAAGTATTATAGTGCCATCCAGTCGTTTGCGATGAAGCGAAGTAGAACGAAGGCTCGGTGTATGATATCCCAGGCGATTAGGAGTGCACATGGATTGGGGGTGAGGCGGAGGGTGATTGTGAAGATGAAATTCGATGATCGAATAAGGAAGAGTGAAGTAACCAGGATAGTGAGGAAGAAGACTGGGGGACTCAAGATAGAGTGCGCCCTGAAGGAAATGATAAAGCGGAGGACACGTGTGGTGTGGACGAGATGTCCTAACGTTGGGGAACTGATCCACAACCACCGGCGCTTTGCGTCGTTGTGTGTGGCCAGCTGCATATGTGCTGGCATGCCCTATCCAAGAAAGGATGGGCACGTACATTTATGAATCGGTGATCTTGAGGGTGTCCCGACGATAGTGAAGAATGCTAAGAACGTTCCGAGACACGAGAACCGTGTGAGGAGGGAGACGCTGAAAGAAGAAATTGAGGAGGCGTTTAGGATATTTGAGGAAGAATCGGGGAACAAAGGAGGACGGGTGGATGTTAAGATGGCAGAAATAGAACAATGTTTCGCAAAAGAGGCGGACGGAGGGAGGGAAGCGTTTGTAGAAGAAGTGGTGGTGGTGAGAGAGAAACTGCAAGGTTTGGTGTTGTCCCCTTTGGATAGAAACCCGGGTGACACACTGGTGATGTGTCCTGTGCTGTATGCAAAAGCGATGGCGGCTACCTTTCTAAAGAATAAAGGATACCTCGAGTGTGTAGAGGAGGAGAGACTTGTGCTAAGGAAGGTTAGCGAAGAGTATAAACGGAGACGGCTTGAGGAACATGGAAAATGGAATGAGGGAGGAAAGGTGGGGCACGCATATGCACTACCCAAGCATAAGGATACGGAGAAATTTTGTCCGATCTGCCCTGCCTTTGACGAACCATCTGTTAGAGCCTGCAAGAAGATTTCACAAGTTGTTAACGGTTTACTGTTCGCATTGCCAGAGACGGGCTATTTTAACCTTCGACCAGTCTCCATGATGAAGGAAAAATTGAGTAGAATGAATGATAGACTAGCAAGGACTAGTACTGATGTACCCGTGCTGGGAGCTTCGTATGACATAAAGGATATGTTCAACAAGCTTCCGCACGAGACGATCATGAGGGTTGTCGAGTGGTGTGTATGGTACTTTTCTCAAAAAGGCTTTGATGAAATTTTTGTAAAGAAGGTCGGGCGGGGTGTTAAGTTGAGTAAGAGCGACGTGAAAGAGGGTTTTGTCAAAATTTCATTTAGATATTTGGTGGAATTTGTTTCGTTTGAGTTGCAGTTTTGTTTCACGAGGGCATGTGGAGTGTTACTCAGGCATATTGTGGGAATACCGATGGGGAAGAGCTCAAGCCCCCCACTGGCATGCCTCATGTGTGCAAAGGCTGAATGGGATTTCTTGCTGACACTTGGTAGTCATAAGAGGATGGTTGGTGGGCTGAGATTCATGGATGATGCGTCAATCTTTGTAGCATATAATCCACGAAGAGTCGGTTCCAAAGAGAAGGCTAGGGAGGTAATTAGAAGGTTTGAGAGGTGTTATGATGAGGCGTTGACTTTGAAACGCACTGATGAGGAGGAGAATCAATGAATGTTTCTGGGATGTAAACTGACAATCAGGGAGGAGTTCCCTTTAATTGGGACAGTGCAAGGGATGAAGAACGAGGCGGAATTGCGGAAGAAGGTGCAGTTGCCTTTCCGGACGTTCCAGGACTTCAACTCCTGGACGAGTAAGCAGGCGAAGATGGCGGCTATAATAAGTGCGCTGCATCGGGTCTACCAGAATTCCAGTGACAGCATGGAAGCCCTTGAGACCATGATCCTCCTGAGGATGGAATTGCAGAAATGCAATTACCCGGATGACTGGTTTGGCCGGGGCCTCAGGAATTTCACAAGGGACAAGAACGAGGCGTGGAAGATGGTCGCAGTGTTGATGACGGACAGTAGGATAATGGACTAGGAGCAATGAACGAAAGTCTTTCGGGTTACTTTGTTTGTTTCTGTCAAGTACTAAGGGTAGGAAGGATTTGGCTGTCGGTTTGTTGGGACCAGGGAATACCCTTCAGCGGGGAACTTAGATTTTTCTGTTTTGGAATGGAAGGGCGTGGGTAATGGGACAGCACAGGACTGGGACCGGTCGGGGAAGGGGTGACATTTGGAAAATAGTTGGACGTAGACTGCTTAAAAAAGTTGGGTACGGGATATCATTGTCGCTTGGGATAAAAATAGTAAGACGGACGATTAGGACCTCTTTTTTGTCCGATTGGACACAAGTGCGGTAGGAGCGGTCGGCTGTTTTTTTGGCATTGCCGATTGAACAGGCGGTGGCCCTCCCGCGAATGCTTGCGCTTCAAAGTGTTGACCACCGGGCTTTTCCTAGGAGTTGACGATAGTTTTTTCAATGCAAGAACGGCTATTTTCGTCCATGTCGCTTGTACGACCATGACGTGTTTGCTGTAGTGTGATTGCGTGTTGCTTTTGCACTCTGGTGTGATTGCGTATTGCTCTTGCACTCTTTCCTATTCCTTTCTTTCGGGGGGCAGAGCCACATGTGAGATGATAGGGGGGGTCCCATCAGTGGGGGGATTAGGTAGGGGAGTTCTGAGGTAGGTCCTCACTGGGGCATAAACCAGAATAGACCAGTCGATGATAGAGGTAGGAGGAACGAATGGTCGAGTCGGTACCTTAGGGCCTTTCTTGGGGGCGCAGGGCCACATGTGAGATGATAGGGGGGCTCCATCAGTGGGGGGATTAGGTAGGGGAGTCCTGTAGTAGGACCTCACTGGGGCATAAACCAGAATAGACCCATTCGACGATAGAGGTAAGAGGAAAGAATGTTCACCTAGGACATACCAATGACTGAGGCCGGTGCGGCTCTGGACGAGGACTATTGGGGGATCTTGGAGTAGGGGTTGTCTTAGGGATATATGATGGTGGGATAGCCTGATTCCTTTTTTTTTTTTTTTTTTTTGCCAAATGACACGGCTCCATCTATTGGTGGGGAACATCACCGGCTGGAAACCGGGTCCAGCGTCCCTGTGCAATACAATGTCACAATGTCATGTATCAATGTCTGGTCATTGTCTGTTAATGCAGATGCACAGTGGTTATTCTACGGTAACCCCCCGGGCTCCAAACTCCCTTGGAGCTGCTGTTGTCACCCATCCCCTCTTTGAGCCCCACCTACTCTATTGACCCAGTGCAATTCTGCAGCCGCCTGTATTTTCAATTAGCCCACTATGCTTAAACTCAGCAATAATGTCATCCTTTTTTTTTTCTTTTTTTTTTTTAATTGAAATTGGTTGTCATGTATGGTTTGTCATTCTCTACCTATTCGGAAGATGTACAAAGGTCTGAGAGTTTACTAGTGTTTCATGCGTCTTTGTATGAGTGAGTCATGTATTATGTGTACTGACTAAAGTTATACGTGAGTAAGCTGTCTTTTTTTTTTTTTTTTTTTTTTTTTTTTTTGGGACAAAGAGCTCCAATCTATTCGTGGGGAGCAACACGTGCTGGGAACCGGGCCCAGCATCCCATATAAAATTGTACAAATGATTCGATGTGAGTAAGTTGTCAATCATCTGTGAAGTAGATGTGGTGGAATGTGTGAGTCAGTGGAGGGGTGAGGGAGGTAACATGCATTATGAAGCAGTCCACTAGTCCGC